TTTTCATTTCTTTGCATGAATATGCGAATATTGATATGTTCTTTCCCTACATGAACTACTATTTACTATTTAATTTACATCACACAAAATGATAAACATAGAGTTATCATGGATTAAGTATATCATCATACATGAACTACAATAAAGCATGCAATTCGTAACATATGATCTAAAAATAAAATAACAGACGACGTCGTTCTTCATCTTAGTCACGTTGATGCCATTGATTGAATTCGCGTGATAATTCATTGACTCATTCTAAAAACGAATCATCCAAATTAGTGGGCACCTGACTATACCCAAATCCCTGAGTATTAGTGTTTTGTTGTGGTCCTAATCCAAAATCCCGAAGCTTGTCTTCATGCTCACCTACACTATCGTGCTCATCCTTATCCTCTTGTTGTTGGGACTCGATATGTGAATAATTTGGCTGGAATTGGGTTGCCTCAGAATAATCATCTCTCTCATTTTCCCTTAGACCCCCTTCTCACTCTCCCTCATTAGGTGCAATATCATCGACATCTCCGACGAATTGTGGATATGTTGGCGGGCTGCTTCCTCTTTCATGCTGCTCATCACCTTCTTCAAGATCTTTGTTACCGATAGCCTCAAGGAAGATCAATAGTATAGAACAAAAAATTTACATTGATATAGTATCAATAAAAAATATATTTACAATGGTATAGAAATTCACAATGCCAATACATATGGACTTGTCACAAATCTTCATTTCGACAAACATGAATTAGTTCCTACTGAGAAAAAAAAATATTTATGCAACATTATAGATAAAAAAAAGTCTGTATAAATCACAATTAGAATCAAGAAAAAAATTACAATAATATAGTCATCCATAATGCCACTACAAGTATATTTGACAAAAAAAACATTTACAATGATATAGTCATTCACAATGCCACAAATAAAATTTACAATGATATAGTGGGCACAATCCCAACTCAATTGAAATGGTCACAAATAGTCGTACATCTCAATTACAAATATGCAAGATAATATAATAAAAAATGCAAGCTCCAAACATAGCTACAACTCAATTATCAAGAACATACATTTTTTGCATTAAAAATTTAATAATAAAATTAAAAAATACAAGATAATATAATTATCATACATGTCATGATTTTTTTACAATGATATTCACTTTAATTCCTCATGATAATACAGTTTAACAACATGTATTTTTTGCATTAAAAATTTAAAAATTTTAAAATACATTTTTAATGCAAAACTGCATTAAAAATATAATACAATTTAACAACATGTATTTGGGTTTTTTGCATTAACAACAAATTAAAAAAACAGTTTTGCATTAAAAATATAATAACATGCATAAATAGTCTATCAACATGCAATTTTTTGAACTAAAAATTTAACAATAAAAATTAAAAATATTATCTAATTCCTCATGATAATTAAAAACTGGTCACAATTTTTTGAAAAATCACTATTTTTCAAAAAAATTGGTCATGAACTAAAAAAAAAAAAAAATGCAGTTCTTCATAGACCTACCTAACATCAGTCATTCCAACTCAAAAATCCGCCTCAAATCGAATACATTACATCAAATTGAATACATGTTTTGATAAATAATACTATAAGGAATCAAAGCGCTATAATATTAACACATTATTATCAAAATATTAAATAAAATAGATTGAATTTGAAGGGAAAAAAAAAATGCAGTTCTTCACTGACATCAATCATTCAATCTAAAAAAACAAGCTCAAATTGAATAAATCAGATCAAATTGAATACATGTGATGATAAACAACACTATAACGAATCAAAACTCTATAAATTTAACACATTATTTGCAAAATATTGAGTAAAATTGATAGAATGGCGGAAAAAAAAAAAAAAACCGCTGTCTATTTTTTCTTCACAGACATTAGTCTTTTTTTCTCAAAAATCAAGCTCAAATCGAATAAATAAAATCAAATTGAATACATGTGATGATAAACAACACTATAACGAATCAATACCCTATAAATTTAATACGTTATTTGTAAAATATTGAGTGAAATTGATAGAATGGCGGAAAAAAAAAAAAAAACGCAGTCCATTTTTTCTTCACAGACATCAGCCTTTTTTTCTCAAAAATCAAGCTCAAATTGAATAAATAAAATCAAATTAAATATATGTGATGATAAACAACACTATAACGAATCAAAAGCCTATAAATTTAACATATTATTTACAAAATATTGAGTAAATTTGATAAAATGGCCGAAAAAAAAAAAAAAACGTAGTTCTTACCTGTTTTTTGTGCACCCGTGGCTTCAAATTCAAATTTGATATGTATTCGTCCAAAATACTCACAAATTATGAACAAAAACTTATGAACAACACTCTTATGATCAATAACCCTCAGATTTTATAAAAAATGATGCCCTCTTTTACTTGAAATCAAAGAAATGGCGGAAACCTAAAACGTTTTTAGGGTTCTTCACAGATCCAAATTTTTTTGATCAAAATTGGTGATTTCTACTACCTTTTATTTACGGAAATGGCTGAAAAATTTAAAATAAAGCCTACAAGATTCGATTATAAAGCTGAAAAAGATGAAAAATGATAAGAAAATGACAAAAAACCATGAAAATCGTGAAGAACATTGTACAGCCCATGTTCTTGGACGCGTCACAGTTGAGACTCGGCGATTTACTATTGGGAATCGCGCGGTTCTCTCTAGACACGGGCGATTCCCGATATTGTAGTGGAACTGGCACGGGGTCTGTCGATTCTCGAGTCGAACCGGGCAAGTCCAGTTTGACACGCCGAGTTTTCAAACCCTGGTTGCAACCTTTAATAAAACTTGGGAGTCTAGGGTTTTATTGAGATTAATGACTTTTAGAAGTCTACATGAAATATTACATAAAATTGAAATCGCTCCATCGGACAAAGCCTCCATAAAAAAAATTATTTCTTTCGTTTTTTTGTGCTTTTTTCCTTAAGAAAATTTTTTAAAAAAAACACAAGAAAAATCTTTCATTTGAAGTTTACAATATATGAAGGGAACTCTTAAATATTAGCCAAAAAAATTCTTACTCTTGTGGTGGTATACTATCCATTTACTCCCTCGAGCAACACATATTCTAGGGATATCTTTTTTATCTCAAATTTTTGGAACGTGATATTTAGAAATCGACAAATGACTGAAAAAAAAAAAAAAAAATTTAACTCTCACACTCGATATGCTTAAAAAAAAATCGTCCCGTACCATAATCGCCAATTTTTTGAGGGAATAATCCAGGTATTTATGAACTCAAAATTCAATTTCTTTTTTATTTGAAAGTAATTACCAAGTTGATTAGATGAATACCAAAACCTCAAATTAAAAAAAAGACTCCCAAGTTAGTGTTTTACCTGAAAAAGTAAATATATATAGTGTGCACCTGATGGGAGCATAGTATATGCGCTTTCGTGCCACCTAGCCTTTAATCAAGATAGCCAAAAGGCCACTCCTAAATCGGCAAAGGGTTAATGTCTTCTACTCTAGAATTGCACGTGTCATTTCAAGCACATGCGGACCACAAAAACCTTGCATAATCTCGACCACATTAAACGTGAAGGTTAAACGAGCGTATGTAACTGTAGCGGCCTAATGAAGCATTGTTCGCAGTTTCCTCCATAAATGCCCACTTGTCCAAATAAATTGACCATGGAGGCTCTTTTTAGCTAAAATATACTCCACTGGAGAGTTACTGTCTACATACCCACCTATAGTTTTAGACCCTACATTTTAGGGAAATAATCTCTTTAATACATAAATTAATTTCAATAAATTTTTTTAATTACATCCTTTAAGCACTTGAAAAAATAATATCTCCAAATTGAATAAATATCTAATTTTCAAAATGCTAGATTTAATTATGAGAAAACTCAAACTTTAAAAGGAAGAAGTTCATAAGATGTTGCAACCTTAAAATGTAACATTAAGGTGGGCTTCAAAAATTTATCATATCAGGTTGCTTAAATGTTGGAAAACCTTCAAATTGATCATCTAGACATCGAGATGTATGCATATGAAAAGGAAAAAAAATTTTGATGCCTCAAAATAGTATATCTTGCAACAAATTATCTAGACCGTTAATTTTCAAGATTTCCAAGTTTTTATAGATCTACTTGATTTGAACTATTTTGGAGTTAAAGATTTTACATCTAGAAATGAAAATAGATTCCCGAGCCATCCTAATAATTTTTTACTGAAAATTTTTATATTTACAATAAAATTTGGAGGTGTGTCTTAATTTGATTATTTAAGAATGCAACCTTATACAAATTACACCCCTTTAAAATTCTTTTTGAAAATAACCGGTTAGTAATTCTAAAGTGGTTATCAAAATTTAAGATTGAAAAAAATTCGGACGGCTGATTCATTGATCTGAACATGTTTTTAAAGTGCCTGATCAAAATCATCAATCCGTTTTTTAAATCACTAATGGGAGTAATTGAGAGAGAAGAAGTAAGATATGTTCCAGAAACTACTACTAGAGGTATGTTCTGAAAACTACTAGATCCTAAGCACAACTCTTAACAAGTGTATAGAACAAAAGGTAAATTGTTTCATGCGGGCTGATGGATGTAAATAGGTGGTCTACCTAAAAACAAGTGTAATTGAGTGTCCAAATATTTTCTCAATGTAACTATCATTTCCTATTGTCAAATTTTTTTTCTTTTTTTATATTGATGATTTCCATGTTAAAGATTATATATTTTTTAAAAATATGGATCAAATTATATTTTAAAAAATACTTACTACCAAGCCCGCATGGACTGGCCTCATAGAAACCAAGTGCAAAAAAAAAAAAAAAACAAAAAAAAAACGAATTTTTTCCTAGTAAAAAAAAAAAAAGCTCCAAAAACAATAAATATACGTACTCAGCGATAAATCTCTTGTGGGGACCTTTAGCCCTACCACCTACCTCCGCCCTAATATACGTGTCTGAATCTTTCTTCTCATCTATCTTGTGTACCGGACTGAAATTTAGTCCCAATTTTGGCTAGAAACTTCCAAGCACTTAGTAGTCAATTGATTAGTGACCGCATTCGGTCAAAGGGAGAATTTTGAAAGAAGCAACTACACCATATCTCCATTTCTTTTTTATAGAACAGACAGTGCCTCGCTGGCTCGTCTTTGAACTCCAGCCACACTAGACCTTCTCTCCAGAATCCATATCATCTCTCTTTCTCTCTCTAGGTTCTGTAACCAAACCCCTTTTCTCTCTCTAAGACTACACCGTTTCTCTCTCTAAAATCTCAACTCTTCTATTCACTGTGTTTCGGCGTCGTGAAGGGGTGGGGAATTTGGCCGGGCTTTTATTGGCACAAAGTCTCTTTAAATGATTGCCTGGTTTTAAAGAGCAGCGGGTCGGTCAGTGCTGGTTGTTGCTAAAGCAGTCAGTTCGGTTACTCCTGCTCATGTCCTGGGTCTAGAGAGAGAAAGTAGAGAGAGTGTGTGTGTGTGGAGGATCATCTTGGGTTTCAAACGGCCATCGTCTTAATTGCTTCGATGTGTAACTGTGTTCATTATCTCTCCTGCGTATCGACTACCTAAGTAGCAGAGAACAGTGACTGGTACTTGAGCAACGAGTGAGGGGAACACGATGGCAGAGTGCAGCTTTCTTAATCTCTTTCAAGGAACTGGTTTGGGTTTATTGCTACTTATTTGATTGCTGCTGCATCTAAAATAGGAGAAGTAACTCTGTGTTATTCCGAGTTCAAGAAAGAAGGATGGAGGGCTCTCATTCGTCTTCGTCCACGGCTCCGGATCGTCACGGCGAACACCTCGGCATCAACAGACAGTCCCATAAGATATCCAAACCCACCAAAAAACCGAGCTCCATACATCATCAGCAGCAACAGGCGGCAGCAGCAGCGGCAGCCAATATGAACAACGCGAAACCGCAACAGGCGGCGGCACAGCCCCCTGTGTACAATATAAATAAGAATGATTTCCGCAACGTGGTGCAGCGGCTGACGGGCTCGCCTGCCCCGCAGGACCGCTTCTCAGTTCCTCCACCAATCCACCCTCCCAAGCCCGCAAGCCTCCGCCTCCAGAAGATCCGCCCTCCTCCCTTGGCCCCCATCGTTACCAACAAACCCCAAACCCAAACTCCCCCCCCCTCATTTCCTAACTCCGCCAAAAACCCTAATTCCTCATTGTTAGGCCTTCCCAATAATAATCCTCAAGCTCGACCTCCTTTGGGTCCACTTCTCGCTCCGCCTTTCCCACCAAATGACTCAGCGTGGGCAAATATGGCTGAGTCGCCAATGACTGCCTATATGCAGTACCTTCGATACTCAATTGTGGACTCTGGGTTGCAGCCGGGCACGTTTCCCCCACCACAGTCACCGGGTCTGCCCCCGCTACCGCAGCGTTTACCATCACCACGGCAGAGTAGTCTGCCTCCTCTACTTCCATCTCCGACGTCTCAGTTCTTGTTACCTTCACCAAGCTTGTATTTGCCCCCCCTTTCCCCATTCCCGCTGCCGTCACCTGGTTCACAGTTTCCACCGCCACATGCCATGAATTCCTTCATTCCCTTTTCCCCTACTTCTCAGTTTGGGATCCCTGGGGGTGGCCTTCCCCTCCCTCCTTCTCCTGGTTTTATGTTCCCGTTATCACCAGCTGCGAGGTTCTCACTTCCCAGCCCAAAGTGGAGAGACCCATGAAAAAAGTAACTCGTCTTTGCCTATTTGGTGCTTTAAAGGATATTGAAGGGGGAAGCTTTGCTGGCCTGAGCCGTTAGCTCATTACTGATTTTTTCTTTGAGGTAAATCCTTTCCCCAGTGGAGTATACAGAGTTTTGGCTTTCTGAGAGTTCCTTTGTACATGGGTATTCTTTCTCAACAACCTTAGAGGATGTCTATCTTATTTTGCATATTCAAATCTATATATGTTCAAAGTTCATATTGCTGAAGTTACTAACATCTTGCGAACAAGAACGCCTGAAGCTGCTGCTATGGTAAGTGTACATTGAACTGATATCAAACATATTTCAAAATGCATCAGTTGGCTTTGCAGGTATTTGTCCTCATGAGACTAACATATGTAATTGAACTTTTAAAGTCATCTTTTATATTATTCACCATGGAATTGGTATTATTTGTCCTGTTCATCTTTCCATATTATTCCATGGTGTTGTGACAATTGCATCTTGTTTCATTTATCAAAGGTCAGCTTTTATGTTGAAAGTGAGCAAGTGAGCAATATCTGAAGTTGTGAAACTCAGTTTGCTAAGGAAACAAGAAGGGGTTGTGTTATGGAGCTTATGGACTTGAAACATTGTCTATACTTGGGCCTCAAATAACTTGTTAGGTGATTAATTTATTGGCTCGATTATATAAAAGTTTTTATATACGTGAAAGCGGGGGTTTGTAGGTCATCATGTTTTTTTTTATTATTTCCTTGACGGTCAGACTGATGGAGCTTTTTCATCATTGTTTTGCTTACACTACTTTGATCTTGTTGTTTCACTGAATTCAAATCACACATCAGTTGGTTTCTTCTGTTTCTATCTTGCTAGATATATGGCTTCTCTCTTGAAGTAGCAACAAGAGTGACATGATTGGGCTGGGTCATAAAGACCCCAAGTTTTCACTAAAATTTCAAGTTTCTTGAAATAACCATTTCTTCTTCCTTTTCAAGTTCTTATTGTTGACTTCTATCTAACATGCAACTTTTCTCCAAAAATATTCTACGTTTGATTACCATAAAAAAAAATTCTAGTTTTGACTGTGATGGTCACCATTGTTCAAAAAAGCGGATCGCCTAGCACCTAGGCGGTCCAAAAGGCCAACCTAGGCAGCAGTCACTCGGTGGCCACCTAGGTGGCACGGAACCCGCCTAAGTCAGCGCCCAACGCCTAGCTCTAGGCACCGGCCCAGTGCCTGCGTCCCGTTTAAGGGTGGAAATGAGTTTTTTTGAAATATAAAGGCTTTTAAGGACGGGTTTTCGATTCATTTGAAACCTAAACCCACAAGAACCCATTTTAGAGAGAAAGAAACCTAAAAAAAACTTAATTTTGTGATTTTCATTGGATCGAAATGTTTCTCAAAGTTACGGAAAATGGATCTAAGCATCACCTAGGTAGATTAAATTTAGTTTTGGAGTTTTTTAATCCTATTAGAGGGTGTTTTTTTATTATTTTAGCACTAGAAAACATTTAAGAGGTGGGAGTTTGGAGTTCGAGTAATCAAAGTAAGTGCAAAATTTTATTTTTTAGATTGCTTGTTTTATGTTGAGATGTCTTCTTCAGGATCTAGTTGAAGTGGAGATTCGGGGTGGAAATATGGATATAATCTGAATCCAAATGATAAATTGCATTAGATGTAATTATTGTGAAAAAGATATAAAAAGGGGCATAAACCGGTTTAAGAAACATCTTGTCGGTATTAAGGGGGATGTTGCCTCTTGTAAAAATGTTCTTAAAGCTATCAGAGAGGAGATTAAGCAATATATGAGTTATGTAAAACAAAAACAGGAACAAAATCCTTGTCATTTGAATAGATCTATTTTTGGTTCTTCTAAAAAAAGTGATCCGGGTTGGAAGTAAAGTTATAACCCAAAACTAAACGATAAAAATTGTATAAGATGTAATTTTTGTGAAAACGATACCAATGGGGGTATTAACCGATTCAAGAAACACCTTACCGGTATGAAAATGAATGTTGCTTCTTATGCAAAGGTTCCTGAAGCTATTCGGGATGAGATTAGACAATTTCTGAATTTAAAAGAACCAGAAAAGGATGAAAATGAGCCTTGTTCTATGAAAATGCCTTCTTCATGTTTTTCTAGAAGTGGTGATCCAGGTTGGAAGTATGGTTATAACCCGAATGACAAAATTCATATTAAATGTAATTATTGTGGAATGGATACTAAGGGGTATTTACCGGTTTAGAAAACACCTTACCAGTATTAAGGGGGATGTTGCCCCGTATAAAAATGTTCCTGAGGCTATCAGGGAGACAATTATACAATATTTGAGTTCAGGGAAGGACAAAAAGATAGACAAGGGTAGAGCAGCCAAGACTCCTAGGGCCTCATTTACACATACTAGTAAGAGGGAGGTAGAAGAAGAGGAGGAAGATGCAAGTTCAGAAGAAACAGAGGAGGACGAGCATTATATTGAAGAGGAAGATGACTGATGATGATGGCCACGAATCTGATGCATATGATGAGGCTTACCCAATTTGTTCTGATGATGATGATGATGATGATTACTGAACAATGAAGAGTTGAAGGTTCTTGAGTGCTTGACTCTTGGTGTTGAGTGTTGACTATTGTGTCCTATATATTTTTTGAATTTCTTTATATTTTTTTTTCTTATTTTTAGTTTCTACTTTCTAGTTTCTACTATCTAACTTTTGTGTGTACAGTCTAAATTATCAGTGTATGCTTGTATGGTTTTACTGTTTTAGCATTGAATGAAAATATAGATTTTGATCTTATGGATTATTAAAATTCTCTTCTCGACTTCTATCTTTTTTTTTTTTCAACTGGGTGCTTGCCTAGGCCTTGGGCGGCCCGGACCCCCACGGCCGTCTAGGTGCCACCTAGCGCTTTTTGAAACACTGATGGTCACTTGTTGCACATTGTTTGTTATCCAATTGAAAATCAAATTGGGTCAATTATTCTGATAAAATAAGAAGTAAAGGATGCCATAGCGACAGAACAAGAAAAAAATACAAGAAAACCAGTTTAAAGATTAAGTAAATAAAAAGACAAAACTGAAAAACCAAGGTGAGGCTCGAGAAAACTGTAAGTAATTGGAAACGTTTGCATTTTCTTTTGCAGTTCTTTGTTGTTGCTTTGAATTTTGAGCACATGTTGACACATTGGTGGCAAGTGCACATTTGGTCATCATGTATGTGTATCTATGATACTTCAGCATCATCATAGCCTTTTCCAATTAATTGGGTTCTGCTATACAAATTCTGGTCCGCTAATCTGCTCTATTAATGGCCATACCCTCCGTGAGCTCATAAGTCCCCATATCTTTTTGGACTACTTCCAACCACGTCCTTTTGAGCCAATCCCTTGCCCTTTTCAGTCTACTTGAACTAACTTGCACCTCCAAATCGGTATTGTACTTGGTCGGTGCCACACATAGCCAGCCCGTCTAAGTCTACTCTCTCTCATCTTATTGCTTATTGGTGTCAGTATGATACTTATGCTAGTTATTTCCAGCTTTAGTTATGCTATGAATGAAGCTTCAAGGCTCATCTCATGTGAAATGATGGATGCAACTCAATCAAGTTCTCTTATGTTGAGTGTGAAGTTACTATGATCTTGACATACACATAATCCAATTCGTGTCTTAATGCTTCTTAGTCTCGTCAATATTAATTGCATTTCCTCTTTCTTAGTCAGCTTATTTCTTTCCTATAAGCTTTGGGACTTTATTTTTATCAGAAAAGTGCAAGTGAAATTGTAATGCTAGTTGCGTTGAGTACGTTACATTTTGGATGAATAGTGCTGGACCATAGTTATCCAAAGCGATTCGAAAACCAAATTGACATAGGAAATGCAAGCGCAGAGTCGTTGTTGGCTGGAGGATTCCTGTTTTTGGAATCGACATCCGTACAAGAGGAAGCGTGGGGGATGAGATTTCTATTTATAAGAATCGAGATTCGTTCATAAGATAATCAATATCCTTACATAGATGGAATCGAGATTCCGAGCCTTATGGAATCGTGTTTCCAACCTAGCTGGATTCGACCAATATGGAATGGAGATTCCTTCATTTATGGAATAGGGAATTTGACATCTTTGGAATCGAGTGGGAATTGAGAGGAAAAATAATACATGTCTCAATGCCATTCGTTGATCGACATTGCTATACATGCATGTTTGCATTATTTGTAATATATTAAAAATAACATCTTGGATTTGCAATCTCTCCATTGGATTAATACAATGCATACTTAAAGAATTAAGTAGAGAACGTGGACCACCACTTCAATTTCTATTGGTCATTTCATTCCAAAAAAGATGACTACGTTTTGTAGCTTGAGATTGAGTGTCTAGCGTTAAGAAGTTCGATGTCTTGAAAACTTCTATTCTATATATCTCAGAAAAAAGCAAAAAGAAAAAAAAGAGAGAAGTGCTAGAATTCCGGTAAATGTGGTAACTAGTTTCAACCAGTGTAGTATTGAGATTCACTAATTATGGAATCAAGAATCAATAAATATTGCAAACGAGATTCTATAAGTATTGGAATCGAGATACCTAAAATAAAGAATCGAGATTCTCGACTTCACGGAAACGGGTTCCATGAAGATTCCTAGTCAGAATTGCCGAATCGGGGTTTTGAATCGGAATGGCAACCTTCAGTGATAGATTCAGGAATGGCAACCTTCAATGATAGATTCGGGTAACTATGTACTGGACTATTTCTTAAGGTGCTTGATGTTGTATTATTTCTGGGTGATCCATTATTTGCTGCTGTACTGTGGAATGGTTCAGTAGGTTGCTTCTGACATTGTCTAATAGTTGCAATGCTGGCTGTTCCATCTTAATTTGCACAACTCTTCACTTGAGGTATCTCCTTGTTAGGCTTCAAAGGAATTACGTTCGAGATTCCCATCTAGTACTTTTTTGTTCTTGTAGTTTAGACTTACATTGTGAACTATGAACCTTGTGTCATAATTGAACATTTGTCTTCTTTGAACTGTTTCATCCGGCATATTCTTGTTGCATCATAACTTGTTCACTTACCAATACTGGAGATGGAAAAGACTTTTGGGGTTTTCCTCTTCTCAAGTTGGCCTT